AACCCATTAAAAATGGGTATAAGGGGATTTTGTATTTGTGCAAAATCCAAATGTATGTAACAGGCAGAAGGAAGCATCTCTATATATTCTTGATCAGCATCAATAGCCGAGTCAATCTAGCCATGTCCGTCTGTCTGTCCGTCCGTCCGTCCGTCTGTCCGTCCGTATGTATGAGCCAGAGGATCTCAGAACCTATAAGAGCTAGAGACTTGAAATTTTAGATGTAGAAGCTCCTAGTTCCCGCGCAGATCGAGTTTGTTTCCGGTAATCGATAACTTACTCCGTTTCCAAGCAATCGATAAAAATCGATATCGACATCCTGTTTTTTTTAGCAAATTGGGTAAATAATAAGAGCTAGAGCCACCAAACATGATATGTTGCTTCTAGACTATTTTAGATATTTCAAGTATCTTTCATTTCATACCCATCGCCACCTCCCCGCTACCACCACAAAGCTATAAATCAAGTTAATAACCCAACTTTTATTGCCAACCAATTTAAGCCAAAATTTAAATGCAATTGACTTTTTGAAAATACACAAATATTCTATGGTACAAAAAGATATACTGTAGAAAATTTCATTAAGATCGGTTAAGAAAAAAGCAAAGTTATATGCAACTGCGCAGTTGGATGGGCAGCTAGCGGAAACATCAACAATTGTGTGTATACATGTACACACACACATTCATGCGCGTATGTTTCGCATTCTTTCGCATTCTAACAGCATTGTAATTGCGATTTTTTTTTTTGTGCCGCTATTTTAATTGGTTTTTTTTTTCAAAAACACTTAATGCTGCCAAGGGAACTTTTTTTTAGCGCATTGCGCGAACTGCATTTGGTGTGGGAATATCAGGGTTTCCCCTAGTCGGGAGTTCCCGATTAGAACCTCTTTCTTGTTTTTTTTTTTTTTATGGTGGTGTGGCTGTGGAGTAGGGACGTCGGCAAGTAGTGCGGTTAGTTTCGAGTTCGAACGCTGCCAAGGAACTCTATTTTAAATTTATCTTTATTGCTGCAAACGAGCGAGTTTTGCGAACTGCATTTGGTGTGGGAATAAGAGGGTTCAGGGTATCCCCTAGTCGGGAGCTCCCGACTAGAACCTCTTTCTTATTTTTATACCCTGAACCCATTAAAAATGGGTATAAGGGTATATTATTTTTATGCAAAATCCAAATGTATGTAACAGGCAGAAGGAAGCATCTCCAACCCCATATATATTCTTGATCAGCATCAACAGCCGAGTCGATCTAGACATGTCTGTCTGTCTGTCTGTCTGTCTGTCCGTCCGTCTGCGTCTGAACGCAAGGATATCAAAACCTTTAAGAGCTAAAGACTGAAATTTTAGATGTAGAAGCTCCTAGTTCCCGCGCAGATCGAGTTTGTTTCCGGTAATCGATAACTTACTCCGTTTCCAAGCAATCGATAAAAATCGATATCGACATCCTGTTTTTTTTAGCAAATTGGGTAAATAATAAGAGCTAGAGCCACCAAACATGATATGTTGCCTTTAGACTATTTTAGATATTTCAAGTATCTTTCATTTCATACCCATCGCCACCTCCCCGCTACCACCACAAAGCTATAAATCAAGTTAATAACCCAACTTTTATTGCCAACCAATTTAAGCCAAAATTTAAATGCAATTGACTTTTTGAAAATACACAAATATTCTATGGTACAAAAAGATATACTGTAGAAAATTTCATTAAGATCGGTTAAGAAAAAAGCAAAGTTATATGCAACTGCTCAGTTGGATGGGCAGCTAGCGGAAACATCAACAATTGTGTGTATACATGTACACACACACATTCATGCGCGTATGTTTCGCATTCTTTCGCATTCTAACAGCATTGTAATTGCGATTTTTTTTTTTGTGCCGCTATTTTAATTGGTTTTTTTTTTTTCAAAAACACTTAATGCTGCCAAGGGAACTTTTTTTTAGCGCATTGCGCAAACTGCATTTGGTGTTGGAATATCAGGGTTTCCCCTAGTCGGGAGTTCCCGATTAGAACCTCTTTCTTGTTTTTTTTTTTTTTTTTTGGTGGTGTGGCTGTGGAGTAGGGACGTCGGCAAGTAGTGCGGTTAGTTTCGAGTTCGAACGCTGCCAAGGAACTCTATTTTAAATTTATCTTTATTGCTGCAAACGAGCGAGTTTTGCGAACTGCATTTGGTGTGGGAATAAGAGGGTTCAGGGTATCCCCTAGTCGGGAGCTCCCGACTAGAACCTCTTTCTTATTTTTATACCCTGAACCCATTAAAAATGGGTATAAGGGTATATTATTTTTATGCAAAATCCAAATGTATGTAACAGGCAGAAGGAAGCATCTCCAACCCCATATATATTCTTGATCAGCATCAACAGCCGAGTCGATCTAGACATGTCTGTCTGTCTGTCTGTCCGTCCGTCTGCGTCTGAACGCAAGGATATCAAAACCTTTAAGAGCTAAAGACTGAAATTTTAGATGTAGAAGCTCCTAGTTCCCGCGCAGATCGAGTTTGTTTCCGGTAATCGATAACTTACTCCGTTTCCAAGCAATCGATAAAAATCGATATCGACATCCTGTTTTTTTTAGCAAATTGGGTAAATAATAAGAGCTAGAGCCACCAAACATGATATGTTGCTTCTAGACTATTTTAGATATTTCAAGTATCTTTCATTTCATACCCATCGCCACCTCCCCGCTACCACCACAAAGCTATAAATCAAGTTAATAACCCAACTTTTATTGCCAACCAATTTAAGCCAAAATTTAAATGCAATTGACTTTTTGAAAATACACAAATATTCTATGGTACAAAAAGATATACTGTAGAAAATTTCATTAAGATCGGTTAAGAAAAAAGCAAAGTTATATGCAACTGCTCAGTTGGATGGGCAGCTAGCGGAAACATCAACAATTGTGTGTATACATGTACACACACACATTCATGCGCGTATGTTTCGCATTCTTTCGCATTCTAACAGCATTGTAATTGCGATTTTTTTTTTTTGTGCCGCTATTTTAATTGGTTTTTTTTTTCAAAAACACTTAATGCTGCCAAGGGAACTTTTTTTTAGCGCATTGCGCGAACTGCGTTTGGTGTGTGAATATCAGGGTTTCCCCTAGTCGGGAGTTCCCGATTAGAACCTCTTTCTTGTTTTTTTTTTTTTTTTGGTGGTGTGGCTGTGGAGTAGGGACGTCGGCAAGTAGTGCGGTTAGTTTCGAGTTCGAACGCTGCCAAGGAACTCTTTTTTAAATTTATCTTTATTGCTGCAAACGAGCGAGTTTTGCGAACTGCATTTCGTGTGGGAATAAGAGGGTTCAGGGTATCCCCTAGTCGGGAGCTCCCGACTAGAACCTCTTTCTTATTTTATACCCTGAACCCATTAAAAATGGGTATAAGGGTATATTGTTTTTATGCAAAATCCAAATGTATGTAACAGGCAGAAGGAAGCATCTCCAACCCCATATATATTCTTGATCAGCATCAACAGCCGAGTCGATCTAGACATGTCTGTCTGTCTGTCTGTCCGTCCGTCTGCGTCTGAACGCAAGGATATCAAAACCTTTAAGAGCTAAAGACTGAAATTTTAGCTGTAGGTCCTCATAGTCCATGCGCAGATCGAGTTGGTTTCCTATATTCGATAACTTACTCCGATTTCAAGGCATCGATAAGAATCGATATCGAAATCCTGTTTTTTAAGCAAATTGGGTAAATAATAAGAGCTAGCTCTTAGTCACCAAAAGTGATATGTTTATTCTAGAATAATATATATATATATATATATATATATATATATACTCTCATTCTATACCTATCGCCACCTCCCCGCTACTACCGCATAGCTATAAATCTGATATGATATATAAATAATATAAAAATATGATATGATATAATTTTATTAAGATCGGTTAAGAAACACGTGTTTACGACAGCTAGCGCAAATACCAAGAATTTCTGTTTACATGTACACACACACATTCATGGTCGTCTGCTTCGAATTCTATGAACAGCATTGAAATTACGATTGTATTGTTTTCTGTGTTGCTGTTTTAATTCATTAAGCCTAAATTATTGGTGTGGCTGTTGAGTAGAGGCGGTGTAGCAAGTTCGAGCCCTACCGAGAAAACAATTTTTTTGGTGTGGCTGTTGTGTAGAGTTGTCAGCAAGTAATGCGGACAGTTGCGAGTTCGAACCCTGCCAAGAGAACTTTTTTTTTATACCCTTGCAGAGGGTATTATAATTTTGTCGCGAAATGTGTAACGCATGGAAGGATACATCTCGGACCCCATAAAGTATATTTATTCTTTATCAGCATCAACAGCCGAGTCGATAGAGCCATGTCCGTCTGTCTGTTTCTATGCGAACTAGTCTCTCAGTTTTAAGGCTATCTTAATGATATTTTGCAGAGGCCCGTCTTACTGTTGCACGCAGCACATATGTGAAAACCAGCTGGATCGGATCACTATATCATATAGCTGCCATATGAACGATCGGTCAACAATAAAGTTTTTGTATGAAAAAACATTTTGTTTTTCAAGATATCTTGACCAATCTCGGCATTTATTAGTTTTACTATGCTCTTCATATACATTCAAAATCCTATTAAGATCGGACCACTATATCATATAGCTGCCATAGGAACGATCTGTTGAAAATTAAGTTGTTGTATAAAAAACAATTTGTTTATTAAGATATCTTGCCCAAACTCGGCCAGTACTATTATCCCTGTGCTTCTTAGATACGGACAAAGCACTATAAACATTATGAAAGAGTTGGGTCTGCAAGGGTATTAGATCTTCGGCGTGCCGAAGATAGCCTTTCTTTCTCGCTTAATTTATCTTTATTACTTTAAGCGAGCTGAATTTGCTGTTGGTATAAGAGGGTTCAGGGTATTCCCAAGTCGGGAGCTCCCGACTAGAACCTCTTACTTGTTGTTATTAATTTCAATTGGCAAATCATTTGGGTACATTAAAATACGGTTACTTTTTCCCGTGACCACGTGTTTAATGAACTTACTTTAATCCCAGATTGAACACATTTGTGGGTTGGTGCTTATTTATATTTGGGCTTAAATTTTTTCATTCAAATTATTTACTAAATGGATAAAGTTCTAAAGGGCTGGTTCAGTGAAATCCAAAATGAATTATGGCCCGGTCAATCATTTTCTTTAAAAGTGCAAGATGTTCTTCACAAAGAAAAGTCGAAATTCCAAGATATTCAAATAATTGAGACGTAAGTAAAATTCTGAAAATTAAAGTTGTTATGTACATAAATAAATACTTAATGAAATGTATTTAGTCTACGAATGTATGTATACTGCGTTTGAAATAAAAGAATTGGATAGTTAAAATATTAAAATGATAAAATATATATGTTCATAAGTACATATGTATATACATATTTATGTACATATGTTCACACATAATGCCACATTAGTACCGAGTTCGATAAAACATTGTTAGAAAGGTTAATAATCCTTGGTGTTAATGTATGAAACATGCTTTTTATATTTTTATACCCTAAACCCATTAAAAATGGGTAAAACGAGTATTTTGTATTTGTGCGAAATGTAAATGTATGTATGTATCAAACAGAAGGAAGCATCTCCGACCTCATAAAGTATGTATATTCTGGATCAGCATCAATAACCGAGTCCATCTAGCCATGTCCGTCTGTCTGTCTGTCCGAATGTACTAGCTTAAGGATATCAGAACCTATAAGAGCTAGAGACTTGAAATTTTAGATGTAGGTCCTCCTAGTGCCCTCGCAGATCGAGTTTATATCCGATAAACGATAAGTTACTCCATTTCCAAGCAATAGCGAAATCCTGTTGTTTTTTTAACAAAATGGTTATATAATAAGAGCTAGAGTCACTAAAAGTGATATTCTTATTCTAAATTAATATAATGTATATATATATATATCAAGTATCTTTCATTTTATACCTATCGGCACCTCCCCGCTATTACCTCATTGCTATAAAGCAAGTTAATACCCCAACTTGTATTGACCAACAATTTAAACTACAATTTTAATGCCATTAACTTTTTGAGAATACACAAATATTCTTTGGTACAATAAGATCGGTTAAGAAACACGTGTTCGCAGCTAACGCAGTTCGAAGAATTTCTGTATATGTACACACACACATTCATGCGCGTCTGCTTCGACTTATGTATATCAACAGCTTGCGATTGCGATTGTATTGCTTACTGTGCTGCTATTTTAAATCCTTTATTTCTCAACAAGACTTAATTATGGGTGTGGCTGTTGAGTAGAGGCGGTGCAAAGTGGTGTGGTATGTCGCGCGTTCGAGCCCTACCGAAGAAACTATTTTTTTTTGACGGGCGACTGTTGAGTAGAGTCGACAGTAAGTAATATAATAAATAAATAATAAGTTATATAATAATAATAATACGGTCAGTTGCGTGTTCGAACCCTGCGAAGGGAACTTTTTTTTTTTTAATTACTCTTATTGCTTCAAACGAGCGCGTTGTGCGAGAGAGTTCAGGTTAAATTTCTATTTTTGAAAATGGTGTAAAAATATGTAGAAAAAATAAAATCATTAAAAATATGTAGTTTAAATTGCATATGAATTTGGAAAATATGGATTTTTTTCAAAACGATTTCTTGACATACTGAATATGTGCATACTACATAAAGCCATGTTAATACGCTGGTGAACTTTTTTCTTACCCAAAATAATTTCTGGAATATCCCGAACATAAGAATTTGTGCAATGAAAAAGTCTTTAATTCGGGCTTGTACAGTGACTTAAAAATCCAATAAGTATTTTTATACCCGAAACCGATAGAACATGGTCTAAAAGGTGTCATTGCTTGAAATTTTAGATGTAGGTGCTCCTAGTGCCTGCGCAGATCGAGTTTATTTTTCGATAATCGATAACTTACTTCGTTTCCAAGCAATCGATACAAATCGATATCGATATCCTCTTTTTTGGGCAATTTTGGTAAATAATAAGAGCTAGAGTCACCAAACTTGACATATACATAGCTTCTAAAATAGAATATATATATGCATTTGATGTTGGGAGAGGAGGATATCCCCTAGTCGGGAGCTCCCGACTAGAACCTCTTACTTGTTTATTTTTTTTTAGCAATTTTGGTAAATATTAAGAGCTAGAGTCACCAAACTTGACATGTTGCTTCTAGAATATTATATATATATCAAGTATTTTTCATTTTTTACCTATCGCCACCTCCCCGCTACCACCACAGAGCTATAAATTAAGTTAATAACCCAACTATTATTGCCAACCAATCTATGCCACAATTTTAATGCAATTGACTTGTTGAGAATACACAAATAATCTATGGTACACTAATGGTTGGCACAGCTAGCGAAATGATGTACACACACACACATTCATGCGCACCCGCGTCGCATTCTATCGCATTCTTAAAGTATTGCAATTGCGACTTTTTTCTAAAATGATATTTTAGTTCGTTCTTCTCTCAATAATACTTAATTATTGGTGTGGCTGTTGAGGAGAAGCATAGCAAGTGGTACGGTCTGTTGCGAGTTCGAGCCCTACCGAAGAAACTATTTCTTTTTTTGCTGGTTTGCCTGTTGAGTAGAGTCGTCAGCAAGTAATACGATCAGTTGCGAGATCGAACCCTGCCAAGGGAAATGTTTTTTAATTTAACTTTATTACTTCAAACGAGCGCGTTGCGCGAACTGCGTTTGGTGTTGGAATAAGAGGGTTCAGGGTATTCCATAGTCGGGAGCTCCCGAGAAGAACCACCGTCTTGTTAAATCTAATATACACTTAATACTACAGAGCAATTCGTCGTAAAAGCACCTACATCTATAAAATTTGCTGCAACATAAATTAAAATCTCATATAATTATCCCTTAAAAATGAATGTTGCTGTAACAAATCCTCAAATTCTGAACTTATAACGAAATATGGAATACTCAAAAACGACTGACCCAGATGCTACCGCTTAGGCCACTTATATAAATGACGATTTCCCATTTAGTTCCCGGTTCATTGATTATTACCTCGAGGCGAACAACATGGAATGTCAAAAGTTGCGTTTGAGTATGTTAAGGCCTCAACAAAACATAAAACAGACGACTGAAGTATTACACTATCTGCTCGAATATCTTTAATGTGACAGTGAATGTTTTAAGTATTTTGAAAATAATGTCTAGTTCGGAACTGTTAACTAAGTGATCATAATGTGTTAGAAGTAGCTATCCTGTCCGCCATTTTTCATTTTAGACCTTATCGTCATTTTTGGGAGGTTTAAGAGGAATCTGAATAAACAACTTGTCTATTTCTTTTATATTGAAAACTTTTAACTAACTTCTGAAATGGGGTCCATTAGGCTTCTGTACGATGTGTACACTTGAAGCTATCAAGTATTCCTACGATCCCCTCCGAAAATTTCATTCATAAAGTTATCTATTTGCATTAACATATATGTTGTTCCATTTACTAATCCAGTAGTATCTACATTGACCGTAATCATATATTTAACCGTCGTTTTTAGGAAAGAGACACACACAATCCCTTTGTTTCGGACGACCTAAAGCAACTAACGGCTTATAAAATTCTCTGTCTACAAGGTGCACATAAATGTATAGCCTTTATTCGATCATTTATCGTGCTATAGCGGTCTGTTGTTGCATTTGTACTAAATAGATGAATGGTATTATCAGGCATATCCGATTTTTTACAAATGCGGGATCGGACAATACTAATGTCATCGTGTTTTTTGATGCTTTATTATTTAAAACAGAGCCAAGCGATTGGTCCTCCCGGTGTCGCATGATTTCTATAAGGAAAATATGGAATGCACTGTTAAGCCACTGATTCCGAAAGCAGCTTCAACTGATGGAGTACACAGTAGTTTTTGAGGAGAAGTTGGATCACTTCCTGGCCCACTATTGTACATTACGGATAAAGATAGAGCATAAATAAGTCGTCTCTTTACGACACTATCTCTAACAAATGTTTAGAAAATGGATTTGTTTTTGATTTTGTGCGAAACACGTGAAATTAAGTGATCAGACTATATCTGCTAATCTTTCAACTGTAATGAGAGCTGGAAGTTTTATTAATCGGACATTGTTGTCTTCTAAATCAAGATTCTCGTCATTTCCATTAATGTTTAAGATATTTAGTTGAGGATTTATTTCTGGCAATCCTAGTATTCGAAATACATCATCTATAACTTCTTGATTTCCAAGTTCTACATATTCATCCCTCCATGGACATACAAAATAACTAGTTCTCGAAAATACTTACTCCTATCAGTATAATATTAAATCTCCTCTACCTAATTACATTAGGCGTGTACCTCATCTTTACGAAGCCACTAGCATCGCAAAGTGCGTAAACTAATTGCTGGGAAGCATTGGGTGTTTCCATGTCATCAGCATCGTCTATATATTGGCGTGTACCACTATGCCATTTGCTAAAGCTGTAAAATATGACAAAATCAGCTAGGCATAAACTATCTAAGGAATTGATCATAATGGTCTATAACTCCTATCTCCAAAATTGTTCCCTAGACTTCCTTTTCCAATCCCGATGCTCTTGTAATGATAAGAACCCCAGCGTTACTGCTTGTGGACAATGGCATACCTAAATAGCAGTAAACTGCTAACTGGCCAGATATTCCCAAAATAAATTTGTTTCCTATGTTCTGTAACTGTTGCTTTACAGTTACATTGCCTCTCCTAATCTTGCCTACAGCTTTAGGCATTAGCTTCGAAAATGCACGCGCTACATAATTTATTATATGAAACACATGTATTACAGCATTGAGTTAAATATAATATTTATCAATTACCTGCCCTTATATTGTCGATTATTTTTACAAGAGCAGCAATATAAATGAATTCGTATATTAATTGTTTTTCAAATTCAAATTTTAAAAAATGCGTGCTGATTTAAAATGACACTGCTAAACAACATTTACGCAATGGGTTGCATGTGCATATACCATAAAACGTATGTACATATGTGAGTGTCAATATAAGTATAAAGAGATAAAAGTAGTATTTAATTTCTTCATTTCTTGTTTATGGTTTCAACTCGTCCCTCGCCACGAATATATGTATATGCTCCCGACTAAGGAATACCCTGAACCCTCTTATTCCAACACCAAATGCAGTTCGCGCAACGCGCTCGTTTGAAGTGATAAAGTTAAATTAAAAAAAAATTCTCTTGGCAGGGTTCGAACTCGCAACTGATCGAA